AGGACTCCCAGGGCTGCCCAGCACACTATGGAGTGCTGTGCGCACTAGGGGTTACGACTGTGCATCCCGGCAGCCAGACAGCTCTTGGTGGTCAGGGGCTTCTGCCTCCATCCACCCACTGGCTCTCTCCTCCTTAAGAGCCTAGAGTTCTGTCTCTCATTGCCTTTTCCTTGTCTGCCAGGTGGGTTGGTCGCACCTGCAGTACAGATGGGAAAACTGAAGCTGGAAGGGAAGTTATGTGATGGGGGTGGGGGGTCCTGCCGGGTGCCAGGCTGAGCCCCGTGCCCACAGGTGGTGAGCTTCAGCAGCCTGCGGGCGGACGCCTCGGCACCCTGGATGGTGCTCTGTGTGCTGTGGTGCTCCGTGACCCAGGCCCTGCTGCTGCCCGTCTTCCTCTGGGCCTGTGACCGCTACCGGGCCGACCTCAAGGCTGTCTGGGAGAAGTGCGTGGCCCTCATGGCCAACGATGAGGACTCGGATGATGGTGAGAGTGGCCCCTGGGGAGAGCGACATCTGGGGGAGGTAATGGGTCAGTGGGAAAACAGCTGTCAGGTCACCCCCTATGGTGACCCTGTTCTCAATCACCACACCCCCGCCACAAATGTACTTGAACCCCTAAGGGACCCAAGCCGGGTGTCTCACGGGGCATTCTCCTGTCTGGCATGGCTACCTGGAGTTCCAGTTAAGCCAGTGCTCTGGTTAACAGAGAGTAGCTGTGGACACTGGAATGAATGTGTTCCACGGAGTTCTCAGGCCCACCCCCCCAACTTTAGGGGTTCCCAGTGAGCTGCCCAAGGGAATCCTGTAGACACAGGCCCTGTCTCCCTCAGCAGTAACAGTGTAACCCTAGGCCAAGCCCTTGCTGCGTGCCATGTGCTGTCAGCCCCTTGCATGTATTTCATCCTCCAAGGCTCCCAAGGGAAACTCAGGCCTCACCCCACATTCTAGATGAGAAAATTGGCTGCGTGTGACCTCCCCAGTCTAACAGCTAAAGGGGGGCATAGCCAGGACTTGAATTCTGGACCCCACCCTTACCCTTTTCCAGCCCCTGCTTGTGTTTCTGTGAAGATCCCTAGGACTCCCTCCCAGGTGCACTAAGTTTCCACGGTCCTAAAACTCTGCCCCACCCTGCAGAGACCAGCCTGGAGGGGGGCATGCCCCCGGACCTGGTGTTGGAGCGCTCCCTTGATTACGGCTACGGAGGTGACTTTGTGCCCCTGGACAGGGTGGCCAAGTATGAGATCTCTGCCCTGGAGGGGGGCCTGCCCCAGCTCTACCCTCTGCAGCCCTTGCAGGAGGACAAGATGCAGTATCTGCAGGTACAGACCAGGCGGGAGCTAGAGGCCACAGGCGGGTGGTGGGGTGTTCTGACCTCCCCAAGGCCTTTCCTCTCTGAGTGCCTTGCGTGCCTGCTGCAGCTCTGCAGTGGCTGCCACCTTCTGAGGACAGGCTGGCCCCCGGTCCCAGAGCTGGTGTGTGTGGGCCTGGGCCAGGCATCCCAACCCCTGCCCCCATGTTCCCTGTCACCTGTGTTATCTCCTGACTCAGTACCCCCCCTCAAGGAGCCTTCTGCCCCACCGACCCAAGCCACAGACAACACTGAGGCTTGGACAGACTGTCACTTGCCCCGAATCTCACAGCTCCGAGCCAGGCTGCTCTGGCGCACAGCCTGGTGCCTGAGGCGCGGGCTGCCCTGCCCTGGTGTGGGGAGGCATCCCTGCCTGTTGTGCAGGAGGGCAGCTCAGGGTTACAGCCCGGCCCGTCCTGGCAGGTCCCGCCCACGCGACGGTTCTCCCACGACGACGCGGACGTGTGGGCCGCCGTCCCGCTGCCCGCCTTCCTGCCGCGCTGGGGCTCGGGCGAGGACCTGGCGCTGGCGCAGCTGGTGCTGCCGGGAGGGCCCGACCGGCGCCGCGGCAGCCCGCTGGCCTACCGGGCCG